AAGGAGCAAAGAATATGCAATGGAACAAAGAAAGTTTGTTCAACAAATGGTGCTGGGAAAACTGGACTGCTATGTGTAAAAAAATGAAGCTAGGGCCCGCCCTGGTGGCACAGCAGGTTAAAGCACAGCACTGAGAAAGATAAAGCCACTTCCGCATGAGTTCGATTCCCGCCTGCCCCGGAGGTGACCACATGGCGTGGCAGACCTCTCCTGACCCGCCCGCTGCTCCCCTCAGCAGTGTACTTCATAGATCTACCTGTTCTGCTCCCCACTGTCTCTGGTGAAGCCTCTTGCCACCCCTCAGCCTCTGGCCTGTACCCAGTTTTGTATGAATAAATAAATCAATCTTAAAAAAAAAAAAATGAAGCTAGATCACTAACTACGTCACACCATGTACAAAACTTAAGAGTGGATTAAAAAACTAGACAAATACCTGAAACCATAAAAATATCTGGAAGAAAAGGTGGGTGAAACACTATACAATGTACACCTCAGTAACATCTTTAAAGACACATCACTTAAGGCAAGGATAGTGAACGAAAGGATAAACAACTCGTACTATATATATCAAGGTAAAGAGCTTCTGTACAATAAAAGAGACACTATGTGAACAAAGAGAAACCCCACTGATTGGGAGAAAATACTTGCACATAATACTACTGACAAAGGACCGATCACAAAGATATACAAAGAGCTGATAAAACTCACCAAAAATAAAGTGAACAACCCTATCAAAAAATGGGCAGAAGAAATAAAATGACACTTCTCCAAAGAGGATATACAGACGGCCAACAGGCATGTGAAAAAATGTTCAGCATCACTTGTAATAAGGGAAATGAAAATCAAAACCACAATGCAATGCCACCTCACACCAGTGAGAACAGCACATTTTTTTTCTTTTAAATAAATATAATAGTTTATTTTTACATCATTTTCTGCATTTTTCCATCTCAGTTGTAATCCCCTTGGGCTTCCCATCACCAAATCATCCATGTGCCATCACCAAAGTCCAGTGCATTTCCCTCCCCCCACTGTTTTTTGATCCCATTCCGCACTTCACCCCCGTAAATTATCTCTGATATATAACTGTTCATTATTATTATAATTTTCTCACCTGGTCCATTATACTCCTGCTATGAATGAAATCGAGAATGGCACATCTTAAAACAACTAGCAACAACAAATGCAGCAGACCTCTCCTGACCCACCCACTGCTCCCCCAACAGTGTATTTCAGTAAATCTACCTGTTCTGCTACCCACTCTGTCTCTGATGAATCCTCTCACTCCCCACCCCATGCCTCTGATCTGCTCCCCAGTTCTTCTATATATAAATCTTAAAAAAAAAGTCAATACTCCCCAAATTTATCTACAAATTACCCAAAACTGAAATTCTAACTCCTACCTGACATTTTTGTAGAAACTGGTAACCTAAACCTCAAACCCACAGGTATGCAAGTAATGCCAAATAATCAAAATCTTAAAATTAACAATTTCAAAATTCACCAAAAAGAGCTAACAACAACAAATGTTGGTGAGGATGTGGGCGAAAATGAACTCTCCTACACTGCTGATCAGAATGCAAACTGGTCTAACCACTATGGAAAACTGTTTGGAGGTCTCTCAAACTGCTAAAAATAGAGCTTCCATATGACCCAGCAATCCCACTCTAGGTGTCTATCCAAAGGATACAAAAACACTGATTCAAAAGAACACCTGCACCCCTATGTTTATTGCTGCTCTATTTACAATAGGGAAGATGTGGAATCAACCCAAATGCCCAAAAATAGATTATTGGATTAAAAGGATATAGCACATATACACAATGGAATATTACTCAGCAATTAAAAAAGATAAAGTCATGCCTTTTGCAGCAACATGGATGGAGCTGGGAGGGACCATGCTCAATAAATCAGCCAGAAAGAAAAATAAAAATAGTGTATGGTTTCACTCACAGCAGGCAACAGGAGTGTAAGGGATTGGGGGATGGAGGATAAGAGAGAGAGAAGCAAATGTAATAATGTAAAAATGGAAACAATGAACAATTTTAAATCAGAGACATGTTATGGGATGGAAAGGGAAGTGGGATCAAAACCAGGGTGGGAAGAGTGCATAGGACTATGGTGATGGTACATGGGTAAATTAGTAGTGGGACGTCCAGGAAGATTACAACCAAGATAAAAAATGCACAAAATGAAGAATGATGTAATAAATAAAAATTTAATTAAAAAAATAACTTACATTCAAGAACATTACATAGAAAAATAATATCCAAGAGAAAATATCTGTAAGCCATGTCTACTAAGAATGTAATTCCAAAATATATAAAGAACTCTTAAAACTCAACAACAAAAATCAACCGACCAACTAGAAAATGAACAGGAGTATGAATACCTCTGCGAAGAAGAACTACAAAGGTCAACAAATGCATGAAAACAATATTTAACACCACTGAAACAAAGGAAACACAAATCAAAACTACAATGAGGTAATACTTAACACACACTCAGATGGTTAAACCAATCAATCAATCATTAATAAATACTGGTGAGATGGCATGTGGGAAAGCTGAAATATAAATGATGGAAATAACAGGAATATAATATGATGTAATCACTTTGGAAAATAAACTGGTATCTTCTCATTAAGCTAAACAGGGTATTACTGTATGATGCAGCAATTCTACTCCAGACATATATACAAAAGCAATAAAGTCATGTCTATTCAAAACACTGTTCTAAAATGTTTATAACAGCGCTATCCACAGTAAGATAAAAATTGGAAGAGTCCAATAACATAAATCGATTAATGCATAAGTAGCAGTATTCATACAGTATCATTCAAGCATAAAAAGGAACAAAGTACTATCTAGTCACTGCATGGTCAGTCAAGTGGATGCATAAAATTAAATTTCATATAAAGAAATTGCCTTTTTTACTGGAAAATGCTCACTGGATTGTTTTAGAGTGTAAGGGCCATGATGACTGCAACTTACTTTCAAGGTTAAGATAAAAAAGGTTGAAAGGAAAATAGAAAAAAAAATGAAAAAAATAAGCAAAATATTAACAATAGGTAAATCTAAGTAAAGTGTATAATCTGTACTCTTTAACCTAAATTTTCTGTAAATTTGAAATTATTTCAAGAAACAAAAGTATTGACACATGATACAATATGGATGAACCTTGAACATGCTAGATGAAGGGACTTGTCAGACATAGTGGTTCATATATCACATGATTCTAGTAATAAAAAACATCCAGAACAGGCAACTCCATTATTAGAAAATAAAATAGATGCTGCGAAGGACCCAGGGAATCAGGTGCAGCTGCTAACAGGTATTGGGTTCCTTTGGGTATAAACCTGCTTTAGATAGTGGAATGATATTTTTAAGATACTAAAACCACTGAATTATATACTTTCAGCTGCAAATTTTATGCTATTTTAACAAATACGAGTTTTTAAAAATTGAGCAAAAACTTGTAGTTATGACCAAACTAAAAACGTTTATAAAGTAATCTTATCCAATTTCTCACATTTTATAAAGAAACTTAGATATAAGGGAGCAAAGCAGCTTATCCATGGTCCTAAGGCTTAATAAGCTGAGATTAGTATATAAGATATTTCTACCTGAGGTCTCATAAAATGTAAAACAACAACAATGACAACAAAACTACCCACTTTAATATACAGATTGATTTGCAAGGGACTCGACTCTAATCTTAAATGTTAAAACCAATGTCCTAAAATTCTAGCCTCTCTTTTTAGGCTCCAGAACCTCCATGCTTAATCATTAATACTGTTTAAAGTCAAAACAGCAATTGCACTGGTATTTTAAATAGCACTTTGAATAGTTAAAAATTTGCTCATTTATCAATCACAGTTTAATATATTTTAGAGACTTAATTAAACATTAGCTAATCAGGCTTCTAGAAAATTCCTCAGCATCAACTTTGAAATGCATAGTCAACTTGCAGTGCTTTGAACTCCTGCAAATGATACTGGAATATATTCATATTGGGTTAAAATGTCTTCATTAAATAAAAAGTTTTAAAACACTTCAACCATTGAGAGTTTGGGACTTGCATTTCCTCTCCTTGAATGTGAGCAGAACTGTGAACCTTCAATCACAAAATATTGTGAAAGTGACCCTATTAAATTCCTGACCCAGAAAATCAGTCCACCAATTAAAATATTGTTTTATGTCACTTAATCTGGAGTGTGCAAAAGCACATGTGATTTTTGTAATAAAAACAAGCAACTCATGTTCCAAAAGGCTCCTTTTTTAATAGTTGTGTAATATATACACCCTTTCACCCCAATAAAAAGACAGATGAAAATACGTGAATATAGAATTTTTTTTTTAAAGATAAGGAAATCACATTGTATTTCAATCACCTAATTATAACCTAATATTTTGGAATGTTACAGAATTCAAAATACCTTAACAGACATTATGGGGTATACACATTGAATCAGGCTTCCAAAATTTGTGTAGTTCTCAAAGTCTGCGTGCACTTCCATAGAATTTTTCCTGAATAAATCCGGATTTCCTTTAACATGGTTTACCCTAAAGCTGCCATTTTTTTTATTACATACATAAAAAGGTAGCTTTGGCTTTACTGATAACTTAAAAGAGTCCCTTAGCATCCTTTGGACATTTTACTTTTTAAGTAAGAAAATTTCTGGTTCTTTCTATGCAAATTGTAATCGCAATGGAAAAATGACAGTTTTCTTGGGCTTTATCTATATCTTACTTGAGTTTTGAGTTGATCAAAGTTTAAGTATTAAATGAGAGAAGACATGAAAAATCCTAAACACGGTGTTAGGCACAAAAAACACATAACATCTGAAAGCTAACTTTCAGAGTTGTTAGTCTCAGCAAAAAAAAAAAAAAAAAACACACAGTAGTTATATGCATTTCTGAGTCATTTCTTAAAGTCAGACTTGCATGTGTATGAAACAATGCCAGTAATATTTCAAAATAGAATTCACAAATATTTACCTTGATTAAATATTTTTCCCATCTATCTGCTGTAACAGATTTGCCAATCTTCCTCATCAACTTCAAATGGAGTTCCACTAATTCTTTTGGTACTTAAAAGGAAGAAAAAAATACTGTTAGCCAGCAAAATAAGACATTTGTAAACAATTAATATTATAAAAAAAGAACTTTCCCAAACTCTGAATACATTTTTAAGTGTCAATTTAGCTTTTTTTATGCTTCTGAACTAAAAACCATTTTCTTTAAGATGAACAGAAACACTTGTGTGTTCTTTCAAAACACCATCAGACAAAACTGAACTCTAATGTAAGCTGGCCTACAGGGGATACTGATGTATCCACATAAGTTCAACAACTGTATTAAAAACACTAGAGTGGTACAGGATATTGATAGTGAAGGTGGTTGGACATATATAGGGGGAAGAGAATGTATATGAAATCTCTGTCCTTGTGTTCAACTTTTCTGGCATTATACAGAACCAAGATATAAATTCATAGAATTAGAAATCAAGAGTTGTGTGAGAGCTGAAAGCTGGCTGCAAGAATGGAGCAATGCCTAAATCAAAGGAACCTGTTTTTTTCAAGTTCCTCTGGCAGATTTCTGACAGTGAAACTGACAAAAAGTTAGAGAAAAAAAAGTAGCTTACCCCAGAAAAACCTGTTAAAGAAGCAAAAGACTGGTGGACCTGCAAGAGACCACTCACTCTCTAAACAGAGCAGCAGCAGAGATGAACTTGTTTCACACTGGGAAATGTCACACTTATGCTATGGCATAAGGAATTCAAAGGAACATCTTAATTGATATTAAAAGAGTACTGGATGGATCCAGAAAGTGAAAAGAGGAAAAGACAATTTCTTAAATCACAGCAATGGAACAGCTGAAGGAACAAATTTCCAACATTAATGATGCTGTAAGAAAACTATAAAACCAGAGACACATGAAACCTGTACTACTCGTTATTTTGATCTATTTACATTGGCTTTTGTTTTCTAAATGCTGTTTTCCAAACTATATTTGGATTAAAGAAGTTAATAAGATAATTTTTTTAAAGATTTATTTACTTATGCATACAAGAACTGGGGTACAGGCCAGAGTTGCTGGGGTGAGAGGATTCACCAGAGACAGAGTGGGGAACAGAACAGGCAGATCAACTGAAATACACTGCTGAGGGGAGCAGTGGGCAGGTTAAAAGAAGTCTGCCATGCCATGTGGGTCACCCCCCAACTCAGGGGTCAAACTCACGCTGTAGTGGTTATCAACTGCTTCACAGTACCGTGCTTAATTAACCCTTTGAGCCACCAGGGAGGTTCAGTAAGATGAATATTTTAATGTGCATTATTAAAAATACTCTGAGTGAAGATAAACACATGCCTTTTGCAGCAACATGGATGGAGCTGGAAGGGATCATGCTTAGTGAAATAAGCCAGAAAGAAAAAGAAAAATACTGGATGGTTTTATTCAAAGAGGAGCATAAAGGATTGGGGTGGTGGGCGGTAAGAAATAATGAACAACTACATACCACAGACATTTTATGGGGATGAAGTGGGGAATGGGATCAAAAATGGGGCAGGGGGGAGTGCATAGGACTATGGTGATGGCACATGGGTGAACTGGTGATGGGAAGTCCACGGGGATTACAGCTGAGATGGAAAGGCACAAAATGATGTAAAAATAAACTATTATTTATTATAGTTTTTATTATAACAAAAAAAATATTCTGAGTGAAACTAATTGTGAACTTTATTGAGAATTGCTTTGTGGTCCTCCCTGATGGAGCAAGGGGTTGTCTCAGCACTTGAAGCTATCAGAAGCCACTGCAGCAGGAGTTCATTCCCTGGCCAGAAAGCTGACCTACCTGGTGCAGCAGACCTCTCCTGTCCCACCAGCTGCTTCCCTCAGCAGTGTATTTCAGTCAGTCAATCCACCTGTTCTGCTCCCCACTCTGGTGAATCCTCTCATGCCTGTACCTCTGGCTTATACCACAGCTTTTGTATGTATAAATAAATAAAATTAAAATCTTTGAAAGAGAAAAAGAATTGCTTTGTGCCTGCTGCTAGTGTAAAATAAAATCAGCACAACCTTTAAAAAAGAAACAAACAAGAAATATAAGTTCCAAATTCATCAGTATCCCAGAAACGAAGCCACTAATGGTTTTCAAACTGTTTCAGAAAACCATTCTTGTAATTTATCCCACATCTAATGTGCTAAAACTCCTTTATAGTATCCCTATGGATTTGGTTTAATGACCTTTGGGGATGGAAATGTACTTATCTTCCAAAGTTCTAATATTATAAAAATTACCATTTTTATAAAGTCAAAATCTGCCTTTCTACACACTTCCTTCCATGTTCTCTAGATCCAAAGACAGTACATTTTCAATTCTTCTACTGGACCATTCAAACATCTGAAGATTGCTATTATCTTCCCTCAAGTCCTTTTATGTTATTGTAAAAAAAAATCAGAGTTCTTCCAAATAGCCTTTGGGTATGTTTAACTATATTAATTAGACCCGAGGGAAATAGAAAATGTGTACACCTGTCAAATTTAGCAAATTTCCTAAATACCAAATACTACTAGTAACTTATGAGAAATTTTACCTGCAAACTACCTAAAAAGGTTCCATAATCAAATATACTAGGATAATGCACAATTTTAAGAAAGGTTAAGCTCAGGATTTATTGAAGCTTTTACTGACTGATAAGTCTTTTGTTGATTTAAGCTTGTTAAACAGGTATCTATTACTTGATTTCCTCATTAACAGCACCACTGGCTTCCACACAATATCATCCAATTAAAATATGAGCCATATCTTTAAAATTTCTAGCAGTCTATTCATAAATAATAGTCAAAATTAATTTATATGCTTTTAATAATAATATATACCCCCCAATGGTAGTTAAATTTCAGGTATTTTATATCTTTAACTAAAGATTCAAAATAGACTGTGCATTTACACATGCAGCACATACCAATTCATATTAGCCATACTTTAAATGCTCAAGAGCCACCAATGACTAGGGTTACTGTACTGGATCATGTGGAGCCAACATATTTAAACCTAAAATTTATAACTTCCAGTTTACTAAATAAATTTTGAGATATAACACACTCGTTTCAATTTTACAACACAGTGATTTGCAGAAGGTAATCGTATATATTGCAAAAAAAAAATCACAAGTATAGTTAACTTCAAATTTATTTGCTTTTGTTACAGAAGCAGAAATGAAAAGCTGTTGACTTTTATGAACACTAGTAGCTCTTAACATTTAATATTTTTCAACTGATAAGAAACAGTCAAAAACTTCAACAAAAAAAAATCAAACAACAGGTAAGATGATGTGAGCCATCCTCACAGCAGTCTTTAATGTCCTGGCAGAAAAAATCTGATGTTCTAGAGGCAAAAGCTTCTAGCATCAAACTCTGATCGGATCATCCTAGTTCCCTTCTCTCCTCTCTACTCAGTTTAATAATCCTGAGGGTAGGGGTATGGAGGAGGTAGAAGAAAGATAAGACTAAAAACAAATTTAAAAAGAAACAGTGATGTGAAAATAGTTAAGGATTACTAGGGAATTGCCTCCCAACACTTCTTAATAATTTCAAGCCTAGTAAAAAAAAGTTGAAACACTAGTAAATCTAATTATAAAAATTTAATAGAAACATTTTACATGAAGTATAATCATCAGGTTCTCTAATAAATCACCATAAAGCAGCAGCCAACAAAGTCAATGAAGGGGAAAAGGCCCCAATAAATTTGTTCATTTTTTAAAAGCAAAATCCACAGCATTCCATTTAGTTACATAGTTCATAATTATGTTAAAGGTATCACTACACACAGGTATTAATAATATAATCAAGTAAATCTATTTGTACCACTCCTCCATTTTTCATAGCTTCAAAGTTTCAAATGTTTGCATTTCACTTTAAAGTCCACACTTAATGTTTCTCATCCATAAATGAAGGAGTTGCAACAGATGAGGTCAAGTCTTCCAGCTCACATACTCAATATCTAGATCTAGATATTAAATCTAGATATTTGCACTAAAGTGACAACAGTCACAAAAACTAAAACTTTTGAATTGAAAACAAAGATCCAAAAGGATAGAAAACTTAACACTTAAAATGTAATGTGCATTGCCCAAGATCAGACAGAATTATGCAAGGGCCAAACCTTCTGGCATTCCAAGCCAGGGCACTTTCTAATATTTCCTAAAATATCAAAGGGATTCAGGAATAGGGCAGAATACCTAATTTACGACTTAAGTAACTGGTTCTACCCAGTTCTGTAGCTAGAATTTGATCTTGGATTGCTCCTCCCTATACACTACATTTCTAAATGAAATCCAGCTAGCGGTTGTAGCAAGAGCAAAAGGCATAAAATACCTAGGAATAAATTTAGCCAGGGATGTGAAGGACCTGCACACTGAAAATTATAAAATGGGTGTTAAATGAAACCAAAGAACACACATAAAAATGAAAGATACTGGGGCTCCCTCATGGCACAAAGAGGTTAAAATGCAGGACTATGAGCACAAGCTGCTGCAGCAAGAGTTCAATCCCCAGGCAGGGGGGGGCTGACCCACATGACGCAGCAGACCTCTCATGTTTTCCCTGCTACTCCCCTCTGCAGTGTATTTCATGGATCCACCTGTTCTGTTCTCCATTCTGTCTCTGATGAATCCTCTCACAAATTCCCAGCCCCTCACTCCCTGCACCTCTGGCCTATACCTCATTTTTTGTATGGAAAAAAAAAAAACTTTTTAAAAAAATGGGAAGACAGAGGTCCTCCCTGGTGGCGCAGTGGGTTAAAGCACAGCACTAAGAAGTTTAAGCCACTTCAGCATGAGTTCGATTCCGCCTGCCCCGGAGGAACTCCACATGGCGAAGCAGACCTCTCCTGACCCGCCCGCTGCTCCCCTCAGCAGTGTATTCCGCTGAACTGCCTGTTCTGCTCCCCTCTCTGTCTCTGGTGAATCCTCTCACCCTCCGCGTCTCTGGCCTGTACCCCAGTTGTATATGAATAAATAAATAAATAAATCTTTAAAAAAAAATGGGAAGACATTCTTTGCTTAGGAATCAGAGGGATCAATATTGT